CACGTGGTGGGGTGGGTACTCATTACCTCCCAAGGGAACGAAGTCCTGATTCCCCACTTGGCCTTCTCCAACACCCTCCCGCCTGCCCCAGCAGGGGTGCCTTATTACAGCCTGGTGGGGGTGGGAGTCAGCTCTGTTCATCATTAGTGCTCATGGTGAAATATTGGATAGAAAAGAAATAGTTGAAATAAATAGCTAAAATCCTTGGGGAAACCTCTGGGAGTATCACTTATATCTACCGATGGTGAGAGTTGGGGAGTGAGAGTGTGCTCCAGTGGGTGACTTGGTACATCCCCAACTAGGTTAGAAATACAGATGGCAGCTATATACCACCCACCTTACCACAGCAACATAATAATACATAGTATTAATTAGCTTTTGGCACTTAAGGGAATTTTTGGAGCTGTATAGTAAAATTAATAATGAGTAATATTTAAAGCACTACTTCTGGATTCTGATAGTTTCACCCAAGAGTCCTAAATCATTCTCTAAGTATTATCGCTGGTCCTCAGCTCATGACAAATGAAACGTGGAGTAAGGATCAAAAAAACGTGTTTGAAAACAGGAAACAGAAGTGAGGAAAGTAGAAGACTAGGAAGACACAGCAGTGGGTTGTACTTAGCTGAGCCGCGGGGCCGAGTGTCTGGGGACTGGATGCCGTCACCATTCTAGTCTTCCTTCTTGGTCCAAAACAACACCAGACATATGACCAACCATCCTCCAAGACAAGCGCCAACCCTGGAATCAGCTCAACTCCTCTCCAGTGAAAACGAGCTCATTTCAGGTGTTTTTCTTATAGTTCCTCCTCTGGCAGGGAGAGCTGAAACCATAGGTCCAACCAGAGACCTTTTTCTGCCCCTAGAAATGATACCTGATAGATAGGCAATCATAAATCCTACTCCTGCACTTTCGTCCCTTCTCAATTATGGGCAGTCCAGGAGTTCTTTGTTTTTTCCCTTCTTCTCTGTATGTACCCTATGTCATTGCTTGGCTCAAGAAATTTTAACTGATTTCACATTTTTAAAAAAGGATACATATTTTGACTTGTTAAAAGCATTACTACTCTTTATAAAAAATACTGGTTTCGTTAAGTGAACACTTGTCAGAGCGCTAATAAAACACTGAAACAGCCAAGTAATTCTCTGTTGTGGGGCTGTCCTGTGCACTGTAGGATGTTTAGCAGTATCCTCGGCCTCTACCCACTAGATGCTAATAGCACCTTTCCCTAGTTTTGACAACAAAAAATGTCTCCAGACACTGCCCAATGTCCACTGAGGGGGGAAATTGCGCAGGGTGAGAACCACTGGTGTAGGTAAGGTGAACAAAGGCTCAGGAAGACGGGAATGTTGCAATGGATCGTTTATAAGTCCCCGCTCTACCACACCCCTGCAGGAGAGCCAAGGGCACGCTCCATCCAGAGTGGCATTAAAAATATATTCTTGAAAAGCTCTTTGAGGTCCTCCCTGTGTAGGATATAGACAAATTACAGTGTAATTCCTGATCTCAGTGGCATAATGAGACCCCAGCATTGGAAAGCCAGGTATTGGCCATTAACAGAGACAGGTTGGACGCAATTACAATAAGCTACAGGGATAAATTGACAGGCAGTGGGTTTTGACCTACAGGGATTTGTAGAAATGGCTCATTGTTGGTGGAAACCCTAGAAAGAGACGGGTATCCTACTCAAACACTGCTCAACATAGAGCGGGGAGAATTCAAGGCATTTTGGGGAAAACTCTAACTCAAATCACTCTACTAGAGACCACATCCTGTCACACAATTCCCAGAATTGTGAAGCCAATCCACAGAACAAGAGACCCATGGACACCCTTGAAGGAGAGGTCCTTTGAGGAAGATCCTTGGCACAAAGTATGTTCTATAAGTCTTATCTTATAATGTCTTCGTCTGATTTGGGTATCAGAGTAAAGCTGGCCTCATAGGAAGAGTTGAAAAGTATTTCCTCCTCTCTAATTTTCTGGAGGAGTTTGTGTAGAATTAGAATACTTTCTGCCATTAATGTCTGGTAGAATTCACCAGTGAAGCCATCTGGACTTGTAGATTTACTTGTAGGAAGATGAACACAGATGCAAAAATTCGTACAATAATTTTTGCAAACAGGCTCCAACAACATCTTAAAAGGATAAGACATTATGACCAAATGGGGTTTATGCTAGGAATGAAAGCTTGGTTTAACATTTGAAAATCAATGTAATTCCCCCCGTTAGCAAACTAAAAAAGAGAAACTATATAATGATCTCACATGCCCTATAGACATCACTTTGTCATTCCTGGTTCTTCGGACTGTGTTTTCTAACTTCTTTGAACCTCAAAATTAGCATAGCGCACAGCAACAAAGCTGGCCCTGGTTTATAAATGATTCACATAAGAATAGTCACAAAGGAAAGCAGACTCAATTCATTTTACTATAACTGGCTCTAAATCTTTCAATGGTTGATTCAACATAAAAACAGAAGCTTTCCAGTGTGGAATTTGCCCTTCTGCATCAAGTAGGTGGCCTGGATTGGACCCTCAGTCACAGCAGAGATCCGAAAACCTTCCCCAGCGCAGAATCATCTCAGGGACACGTGTGGAGAAAGATTTCAGACCTGCTGCATGGAGAATCTGTATTTTTTTTTAACTCCCAAGTGATGTTAACGCAAAGCTTTGGCTCTACAGAATTTATTTGAACGCTGCTATTTCAAAGACGGCACCACCACTTATCCCCGAGAAGGAAAAGCTCTCCGTCCGACTATGCCATGAGCTTCTCCACGACAGTTACAACCCGACTGGCTCCCTGACACCTGAGCCAGGCAGTCTGGTGACCCGCCTACAGTGTACATCAGCATGGGTGCAGAAGGGCAGCCAAAGGCAGCTGGCTTCTGTGGAAGCACACCGCGTGGGTCTTCCTTCCAGGAAGCACCGGGGCTCAGCCTCAAAGGGTGGGGATCTCGAGACCCCCCCCAGAGGTCAGTGCCCCAGGATCCTCCCCAGTCTTCCTGCCGAGGCCATGCTCTCCCCAGGTGCCCCTCCACCAGTGCCAAGCTGAGCTGAGGCTGAGTCACTTCTGCCCAGTGTGGGAGCCTGCAGCCAGCGCGGTGGGCCGCATTGCTCCTGCTGGGTTGGGCTCTCAGACCCACACTGGAGCAGCAGCTCTGCCTGCCTAACCAGCTGCCCCTTGTTCCTTAGGCCTGTGTCAGACTTGCATCACAGTCTGAGGTCTCCTGCTCAGCCCTACTTCCTCCTCCTCTTCCCAGATGACGCCCAAGACCCCACTTTTGCTCCATCCCAGGGGCAGCCGCCTGGGGGACCCGGGTGACACGGCAGGAAAATCGCTTGTTCTTCTCCTGGTTCCACCACAGTGTGAGAGGCATTCAGCACTACCCCACCTCCCACCCCAGCTCCGAGCCCAGGACAATGCCCAGAGGAGGGGAGGTCTCTCCCACAGCCCCACGTACCTCCAGGGTCCAAAAGCAGCAGCAGCCACAGCAGAACTGCCAGCGTGGAAATGCTGAAACGCTTCCTGTAAAGAGCCATTGCTCAGTCCTCCTGCGCACCCCTGCCCTGGTCACCCCTCCCCAATTCAGGAAAGAAAAGGATAGTGGGGCCCCAGGATCTTGTTCCAGGGCCACAGCGTATGCCAGATGGGCAGTTAAATATGTTCGATATCACCTGGCCACAAGGTAGGTCACTGTGCCACGGCTGCTGCCCAGGAACCCACGGGAGCTGTCCACGCAGGGTCAGCCCACACTTCCCAGGCTGTGGCTGGGCTCGCCCCACGAGGCCGCGTGTCCCCCACCTCACCAGCCTGGGGAACTCAGGACTATCCCGCCGGGACCTATCCTCCTCCTGGCTCCACACCAGGGCGCTCCTCTTCCTTCACACTCTATAACCCACCACCCTTAGCAGACTCTGTCCCCAAAAGCCCTAGAGGGTCATTCAGTGAGCTTTCTGAGCACCGAACATGCGACAGCCCCTTCCTACACCCACCACCCAACCAAGTCGGAGGAACTTGCCAAACAAAAGGGCTGTGGGTGACCTCTGATGTTTTTGAAGGGCACCAGGTAGTCAACAACCTGGCCCCTCCTCCAGGCCACACAATTGACCTGGGGGCCGAGGCGAGGGTTTTAGCAAAGGGGAGCAACAATGGCGGCGCCCTACCTGGAACACGGTGCTCAGAGACTGAGTCATCCAGGGGTGCCCCAGGGTCCCGGGGAGCAAGGGTCCAACCTACCCGGGAGGAATAGATGCCAAGAAGCCGTTTTTTGTTCCTCAGAAACGCACACTCCATTTCTCATCAGAGATAGAAGCTCTGAGGTAAGCGTGCCCCACCCTGACACTTGGGCGCTAAGTGTTGCTTCCGGGGCCATCTAATCCACCGCATCTCTTCAAGGGGTGGTCCAGCCCAGCCCAGTCAGGGCACCCTGTCCCACACTGGACAGCTTGAGTTTCTCGCCAGAGCCCGCCCCATCCGTTGGCCAAGGCCTTGGGAATCTTCCCCTTGTTTGGACACAGTCAAGGAGTTCACAGATTCCCAGGTCACTGGCCTCCACATTTCTAGTATCTCAGGACTAGGGGTTGACAAGCCACAGCTTTTGGGCCAAATCCAGCCCATCTCCTGTTCTTATAAATAAAGTTTTATTGGAACATCTGTGTCAACACAGCCAGAAAATGAGTGAGGGCTTCTGGGGGCTTCTACAGGCTGATTTCTTATCTAAATAATCCCTTTGAGCAGGACATATCTGTGAACTGGTTTATCATGTATATATTATATTTTTTTTTTCTTTTTTTTTTTTTAAGCCTGCAATGTATGGATGTATAAGCCACAGCTGTTCTGGAGAATGCAAGTTTCCAAGGTGAAAAACAGATTCTCTCCAAGACCAAGGGGCTTCCCTGGCTGGCCTGCACACCCGCAGTTAGCATTTGTCAGTCACTCTGGAACCTTCGTGCATTCTGCCGTGGAAGAGGGATGTTGAGGAAGCTGCAGCGAGGTTCCAGGCCTCTCAGAAGTTGATGCGGCTCCTCTCATCAGTGCAGTTACTGCTGGGCAAGTCCTGAATCTCCTGCACGTCTGAGTGATGTGGCTTCGGGTCAGTGCTGTAAGCGGTCTTGATGCCAGTATCAGTGACAAGCAGTGCCACTGAAAACTGAAAGCTTGTGGCTAATGTTCTCACCCTCCCAAGGCTGTCTCCCCTAAGGTAAAAATACCGCATTGGATAAGACAGCGCGAAACAAGAAGCATTCAAAATACCTTTATTTTTTCTCATTGGGTGGTCATTCCATGACACGTTTTAACAGCGATTCCCCGGCTGTACATTTCATTTGGATATTTCCACCAATCTTGACTTTTTCTTCGTCATGCATTTCAATCCTCACTTTCTTCATCTTCTCCTATTGTCAGTGTTGCTGGATTTAAAACAAAAAAAAAAGTGTTTTTTGGAATGGAATATTCACCAATCCTAAGGAAATTTCATCAAGGTCTGTGAACACGTCTACACGGCACACATCCACATGGCCATGATTCACTCAAAAACGAGTTGGGTAGGTGGGTCTGCGCTGCCACATTCTCTCCCCTAGCTCCTGGGAGAGAAACCGCTTCTTGGGAGAGGGGAAGCCTCTCTCCGCAGAGAGCACCAAGACGGGGCCCGCGTGCCCTGCAGGCAAGTGTCGCTGCACAGCCAGCCTCGGTTGGGGCAATCTCCAGACCCAAGGAGATGCCTAGCAGGCCTCTTCACCCTGCCTCCTCCTTCTCCTGACTGCTCCAGGAAAACCCAGTCCCTGTGACTAATGGAGAGTAAGAGACCTAGACAGAGTCCCACACAAACATCACCAAAGATAAAGCTGATCACGTTTCTTCTCTAACCCAGCAAGTCGCTCACCTGTGAAAACCAACAAGCCACTACCAAAGGCCTCCTAAGAGAGTTCATACCGTACAGGCACCTCTGCCTCCTGGAAACCAGAGGGGCCAGAACACTCAGCTGTCACTCACACCACCCCCTGACCACCGGGCAGCCAGCCTGCCCTTGCAGGAAGTTCCAGGATTCAATCTGCAAGTGGGGCTTGGTTCCCGGCACCACCACCACGCCTGCACTCACACCCACTGCCCGCCAGGCACTGGCCCCGTTAGAGCGGTGGGATGGCAGAGAGGCAGGGAGTAGGGCGAGACAATATTTGTGAAAGGAAACGTGCTTCTAGCGCAGGAAACCCATACCGAGGGCAGAATCCCCCCTACAGACCCGGCCCTCCCAGGCAGATCAGATAGACCAGAATGTTGTCCAAACTAAAAAGCGAGTCTCGTGTTGCTGAAGGGCCCACTGGCTGCAGAGCATCTCTCACAGACGGACCCCCACGGGAGCAGAGCTCCCCGCGCCTCAGAGCCTGGACCACCCGCCGGCCTACCTTGCTCGCCCTCGGTCTCGGCCTCGGCGCTCTTGGCGCTCTTGTGCGATGGCTGGGCGCTCGCAGGCTTCGGCTCCCCGGCGCGGGGGACCGCCTCAGCTTTGTCACTCGCCTCGGACGGCAAAGGCACTTCTGTGGGGACGTCCTTTTCTCTCCTCTCTTGAACAACTCTGATGGGAAGAGACTTTTATCACCATCAGAGAAATCCAAAACGGAAAACTCCGTGGGCCATCCGGGCCTCCGCCAGGACGGCGCCCTAAAACTCGGGGTCTGCGGTCACGCGCGTGCATTTGTCAAGGTCACTGCTCTGTCTCGAGAGTTCCCGCTTGCGTTCTCACACGTGCTCCCGACAGAGACCGCGGCGGCGTCCAGCCTCCCGAGGACGGGACGCGGGGACGGCGAGCGTGTTTGGGGGCCGCGCACAGCCAGGCGGCGCGCCCGCCCCCGGCACCGCTCGGGGTGGGAAGGGAGAAGCGACTCGTAATCTCAGAGGCTTCTGTCCGTGTCACGGGGAGAGGCCGTGGTAGCAGGCACCTCGGCCCCCAGTGAGAACGTGAGTTTCAGCTCTGCCCACGGGCGTGCCCGTCGTCACCGTGACAAAGAGGGGAGACGGCACACGGCTCCACCGGGGCGCCAGCACCGCACGGAGGGGCGCGGGCCGCCTGGATGGGAATGTCGGCCGGGCTCTGCAGACACAGCCGGGGGAGCCCGCGCCCCACTCGCCGGCGCGGGAAGGCTGTGGGGTGAGACGGGACGGCAGAGCCCGGCAGGGTCGGGTGCTCAGTAGTCGCTGGTGAGGTTTTACCGGGAGCTCTGCGAAAATGAGGGGGGCCCTTCGGGCAGGCTCGTGTCCATCCATCGCAGGCGCTCCTCGAGGCCCAACAGCACCGGCCGAGGCAAGGCCCCCTCCCGCCCCCCTCAGGCTCCAAGCTCTGCGTGTGAGTTACTGACTTGTAAATGATGGTGATCACGAAGGCCCCCGCGATGATGACGATCAAGGCAGAAAACACCTGCACGTACGCTGGAAGACAGGTCAGGCCATCACCACTGGGACCCAGGGCCAGTGCACAAGGCAGGCCTCCCCACCGTGGGCGCAGCAGCCCCTGCCCTGCGGCCCACCCCGCCCACTCACCCCTGAGCACCGGAGGCGCCACCCGCCTCCACTGCCTGCCTGGAAACTGCTTCCAGGGGCTCAAAGTTGCCCTTGACAGGTGAGGCTCCACCGGAGGGACTCAAGGTGGTGGCCAGTGGCCACCAGAGGACACCTGAGGACTGCCCACTGAGGAGAGCCTGCAGGGAGGGCTCCCCCATCTGTTCTCCAGAAAACAGCAGCTCACCGCCTCCTGTGACCTGGGCACCACACCCGCCCCCAACTCCCTGGAAACGGTTCCTCAGTCCTCAGGTCAGTTCTCCCAAAACGGAACATAAGGAAAATGCTTTTTGGATGACAGACAAATTCCACTGGTCTGATTTCAGATTTCACTGACTGAGCTTTTCTGTGTTAACAAGGGGCTTCCTCTGTCCCCGAACTGCTCATGTCTTCTCTAAGCACATCCCCAGAGAAGAGCCAGACCCTTCCAGGTGACTCTGAGGGGGCGGCCTCTATTCCCGTATTTCCCTGCGTAGGAGCATCAATTGCTGTAAATTCTCACCCCCTCTCCACTCCCAGGAAGGAGTGGGAAGGAGGAGCTGGGCATGGCCCACCCGGAGCCCTATCCTGGGGCACCCCCACCGCAGGAGCCCTCCTGGTGCCCAGAGGGCGAGCCTTCTTGGAGACTAACATTTTGATCTCCACTCCCTCGTTGGCCCAGGACTCTGGCTAAGCAAAGGGGTGGTGTTCACTGGGCCCCCAAGCCCTGGCGGTTCCACGTGAGCGTCGCTCCAGCCGAAGCCCTAGGATCACCTGATGTTCTCTCCCCAGTTTCATCCTTCTACATTCTCTTCATCAGGTCGATGAAAGGATTTTAAAAGAATTAATGCAAGTGAAGTTGTTAACTTGTGCCTGGCGTATAGTTTGTGCACAGTGATCCTTCTTGTATTATTATCATCACTATTCTCTTCTCTAACTGCTTTTATACCCTTTCAAAGTAAAGAAACTGGCTTACCTGCAAATTCCTATCTCGAGTGACATGATTTGCCTCAATTCTCTTACCTCCTTCTCCCTCTAGCCCGTTTTCACCGGTCCTTAACCAGTAGTAACATTATTGGATGCAGTGTCCTTGGCTTGTGCATTAGTTTCTAAGGCAGCCATAACTCGTACCACAAACTGGGTGGCTTAAAACAACAGAAATTTATTATCTCACAGTTCTGGAGGCCAGAAGTCCAAGATCAAGGCATTGGCAGTGCCGTGCTCCCTCTGAAGGCTCTAGGGGGGATCCTTCCGTGCTTCTTCCAGCTTCTGGTGGCTCCCGGTAATCCTGGGCATTCCTTGGTTTGTGGAAGCATCACCTCGATCTCTGCCTCTGTCATGACACGGTGTTCTCCCTATGTGAGTATGTCTTCACACGGCGTTCTCTTTCATGTCTCCTAAGGACACCAGTCATATTGGACTAGGGTCCCCCTACTCCAGTGTGACCTCATCTTAACTAATTACATCTGCAAAGACCCTGTTTCCAAATAAGGTCACATTCACAGGTACCAGAGGTTTGGACTTCAATATACCTTGTGGGAGGACACAATTCAGCCCACAAGAGAAGGTAAGCTACAGTTGATAGTCGTAGAGAAAGCTGCCTCCCAGGCACATGAGGATGGTTCCAATGGGATGTGCATTCCTAGACTAATCTGCAGGTTCTCTGGAAATGGATGATGCTACCGGGGTCCTTGATATGGGGGCTGAAGTTGGAAAACTGAAAGTGGGTTGAAGCCAAATAGTTCAGCGATGGTAATCCAAACAGTTAATTTTCTCAAATTGATGAGAGCTCAGTAAGTAATGGTTAAGTACACAATGGGCACTCCATGATTGAGAGTTCATCAGGGAGAAGATGCAGGGGGAGAATGGGACTTGGGGTTGTGTGGTTGCTGGACTAACAGACTAGTACAATTTAACAGTGAAGGAATCACGAAACTGCTTGTTGAAAGTTTTGTTCTAATCAGTTGGCTTATTTCTTTAAATGATGCCTTTCCCATGGATGTGTGTTTACCTAAGTTCACTCTCGAATCTCCAGGGCTATAATAACCAGCCTCCAAGATGGCATCCAGGGATCCTTGCCTCCTGGCACTTACACCCCAGTGTAGATGCTCCCACATGGCACAAGGCTGACCTCTGAACCAAGGGCACAGTGGCATGGTGTGACTTCCAAGACTAGGTCAAAGAGTCATTGTGGCTTCTACCCTGCTCTATCTTGGATTGCCTGCTCTGGGGAAAGACAGTCATCATGTCATAAGGACATGCAAGCAGACCTCGTGGCAAGGAAAAGGGCTTCCTGTTAACTTCTAGTACTGACTTGCCAGCAAACCAAGCCATCTGGAGTAGATCCTCCAGCCCCGGTCTAGCTTTCAGATGACTGCAGCCTTGGCTGACATCTTGACTGCAATCTTATGAATCGCCTGAGCCCAAACCACCCAGCTAAGCCACTAAGTTGTTGCTTTAAGCCACTAAGTTTGGGGTAATTTGTTACATAGCAATAAATAACTAATACAAGGGTGTAGCATAAGACTTGGCACAGAGAAAGTGCACTTTAAATGACATTGAATGAATTGAATTGCAATGAACAAATAAAGTGAAAGAGTGAATTAGGAGCTTTTAAGGGACAAGAAAGTAACTCTCAAATTCTTGAATTCCAGGGAATGTGTATTCCTTAGTGTGATCTTGTATCTTGGTTCATGAAACAAATTCAGAATTTATATGTGAGTGAAGTCTTGTTGGAGAGACACACATATTCAGACAATACTTCAGTATTCAACTGTCAGCATATCTTCTATAACTTTATATATGCAAGTATTTTTGGACCTTGATGTCAAGCTCTTAGAGGCAGTGACTGAATCTCTGTGATTCTTTCTGTACAGAATCTGGCCAGTACACTCTTTCTTATGAACAGTATGTGTGGTTTATCATAAGCCATGTATTATGATTGACCATTCAGAAATAGCAGCAATTGAAGAGAGCATTATTTTCTTTAAAGAATATCTTGGTAAATTCTCCCCCAAATATAAACAAAAGTTTTGAAATCATCTCAACAAGTCCCACGAAGAAACTGAAGTCAAACACTTGGAAGAAATGACATGTTAAATCATGTACCCTGAATCAAGACTGAAGAATGAAGGCAAGTCATTCTCTTTGAATTCCCAATTCTTTCTCAAAGATCTAATGCTAATTCCCCAAGTTCATATTCTTAATAATACAGATTATGCCATGACACAATGTGCACTTCAAACCAGCCAATTTAAGAAGTTGGTGAAAGGTTTTCATAACATGGAATTATGTGCATAAAGAACTCATAATACCCTGTCACTGAATACTACAACTTACACAGCACAAAGGTTCATTCGCCTTCTTGAATGAGAAAGATGTCAAAGAAATGAAAAATAATTTGAGGGCACAGTGAGAACCCAAATGTAGGGCTCACTGCCCAGACTCTTCCCACAGATGGCCCAACCTCTCGGGCTTGAAAGAAGCCTGAAGTTAAGAAAAAGCCTAGCCCACACAACTCATTTATTACAACTGAAAGGATGGAAAGAGGATTAATACTTGCCTCCATGCAAAAATGACATACCCACTTGCAAAACAGTGAGCACTCTTCAAGTACAAAAATTCTTGCGAGTTGTGGGGTTTTTGGGGGGAGGGGTTCCTTAAGGGCACTAATAATTAAGGTGCTGTAAAGAATAAGGCTCATTTTTCAAAAGAGTGACAGGCATAATGTGATTGTACTAATTTAAACAATGTTTGAAATACATACTAACATTTAAAAAATGGCCAACTCGCGCATAAAATCCTGATGAGAAGATGCTCGGGGGGTGGGACAGAGGAAAAACAAGGAAGAGCAGTAGCAGCCTGGATTTGCGTGCCCTTATTAGCTGCCATCTTTCTTGAATGATCCATTTCAGCACTTTACGCTGTTGGGGCTCCGTTTCATTGGGATATGAGGAAATTGGGATAATTAATGGCCAAAGACCATGACCAGTTCTGTGACTTGACCCGGGAATTGAATGTCTCCTGCTTCTTAACATGTAGGAGATCAAAAGGACAAACTCAAACACCCTTTTGATGTTCATGTTTTCTGTTTTTAGGAGCCCCAGATGGTAAATGTCTCAGAAAAACTAAGTTGCATACATGCCCAGGACGCTAGAGTGCTCTAAGGAGCAAAGCTCCATGACGGAAATGAAATGAGCTAGATTGTAATGCTCTGCTGCCCTCCAAATGGTGAGATGTGTGTATCAAACCACCAATACCACAAAACAACAACAAACAGATGACAAGTGAAAAGCAGCAAACTATGGCTAGACCACCACCCAGTGCCATGAGCTCAGCTTCAGGAGTACGTGTCACACACCCCAGAGAAAGAGCTGTAGAAATGCAGCAATACGATAGGCCATTCAGCATTGGAAGAACAGAGACTCAAAAAGAGCTCTCAAGTAAAATTCTGGCTAAAGCCTGTAGGTTTCATGATGAGAGAGGTGGCGAATGATGAACTCTTTTAAGTGGAAAGCACTGCATCTTGTTGCAACTCTCACTACATGGTTGCATACGATTGGACTAGAGGTTCATTAAAGCCCAGAATAACTTTCAAGGTGACATCAGCAATGGCAGAGGAGGAGCCCCCCAAATTCCCTCCTCGATAAAAGCAAAGAGACTACTGGCAAAAATTGTCAGAATAAACTTTTCAGAACTCTGGAAATTAACAAAAAGCTTGCAGCAATCTGTTTATTCAAGATGAACAGATGAATATCAGTAAGAACAGTGATCTTTGGACATTTTAACTTGCCCTATTCCCACCTCTCCTGCCCACCCTCCAGTTCCACAGTAGTCTTGAAAACCAACAGCCCACAATCATGGTGACATCCAGCAGCCTGGCATCACTGGAGGGTGCA